CCCCGAAATATTCATGTTAAAAATCCGTTTTTTCTTTCAATTTTCATAAAAAGTGTTGACTCCAGTCACTCGCGCTACACCCTGTTGGCAGGTTTAATTTGGGAATGCCCATTAGAAAGAGGGCATGGAGGTGAGGAAAATTCTGCCATGCAGGACTTTTGTGCATGTTGTTTTGACTTGTACACATTTTTCAGATTTTTTTCTTGCAATGGTTTTTTTCTAGCTTTTCTAGATTTCCAGTCCTCGCACGAAGCGATCCACGCAGCTCGCTGCGAATTGTGATTGGATGAAAGTGCTCATGCATGCACTCGCAGCGAGCTGCGAGGAGCTTCGTGCGAGGACTGGAAATCCGCCTTAATAGTCCGTCATTTCTACTTCTACTTTATTACTCTTCAACACGTATCAAGAAGGATTATCATGCATTATCCTCAGCTGTGCCATTATCCACCAACATCACCCAGTATCCGCATGTTTATTCCTTATATGGTAAGATAGCCATATAAGGAGGTAGCAGAAGTCACGAGGTCACAGTCACAGACGAGGAGAAAGAAAAGCATCAGTTTTAAATAAAATATTTATTTATTTTTTTAATATCACACGAAAAATGCCTTCATTTTCTTCAGAGCAACTGCGAAAGATCTTTATTGGTGGTTTAAATCTGGAAACTACGGAAGAAACTCTTAAAGATTATTTTTCTCGCTGGGGTGAGTGTGTAGATGTAGTTGTGATGCGACACTCCGACACTGGTAAACCACGAGGTTTCGGGTTTGTAACTTACGAAAAAGTTGAATCGGTGGATGCTGTTTTAACTGTTAAATCACATATTCTCGATGACAAAAAGATTGATCCAAAGCGAGCCGTTGCTAGGGAGCAACCATCTCATTCGACTAAACAAGAAGACGAGAAAAATCGCGAAAATCAGAGAGTTTTTGTTGGCGGATTAGCGAGTGCTACAACCGAGGACGATGTTAGAGAATGCTTCACAAAATTTTGTTATGAAGTTGGTTACGGTAGAGTACAAGATATAGAGATTATGAGAAATAGAGAAGACGGTAAATGTCGAGGGTTCTGTTTTGTTACATTTCATAGTGACACAGACATTGTCGACAGAGTTTGTGCTGAAAAATATTTTGAAATAATAAACAAGGCGGTTGAAGTTCGCCGTGCTGAATCGAGGCTGGCAATGATGGAAAGGAAGGGGAGAGGTCAGGACATTGATAGACGAAGAATGGCAGATCGCAGAAGAGATGCGAACTACAGTTATCAAGGTGGGTGTTAACAATTGATCCTACTTGTGTGTATTTGAGGGGGAGTTGCTTTATATGCGAGTCAATTCCAACTGCATCACCCCCCCCCCCCCCGGCGAACCCCGGGGAATTTGACTTTTCAAAAAAAATATGGTTAAATTTCGGACGGTGCGGGCGAAACCCATTGCCAAATTCCCAACAATGCAGGCAAAAAACATAGTCAAATGCCCATATCTGCCTCGTACGTTTCCCATATGTTTGCAGTTTATATAGTTTTACAATACTGTTTCTTTTTATGCTTGCTATTGCGAGTTCAATTTTCTTTTTATCTATAAAATATCGTAAAGACACATACCTTTTGAGACAAATTCTGCAAAAGAACAAGCAATTACATCCTTTTTGACATCCCTGGTCGAATTCCAAACTTTATATAATGGCACAAAAAAACTACTTGTGCCGTGCAGTGTGTTTTTTAACACATGTGAAAAACAAATCACATCACGTTCATCAATGTTTATCTACAGTAAGCACTTTGCGCGACTGCTGGCCAATTTTGTGCCAGTGATCAGTCAAATGAAAGGGGTCAAATGCCAGACAGTGCGGGAATGTTTTCGCGTCAAATTCCCGCCTATGCAGGATTAACCTCTGGTCAAATCCAGGGGGTTTGCCTGGGGGAGGATGATCGCAGTTGGAATTGACTCATACATTATTATGGGGCTGTATGTATAGGAATGGCCCAGTGAGTGTGACAGTCTGGAAAGGAGGGTGAATTTGTTTTGGGTTTATATAAGAAATTTCATCCTGCTTGCTGGGTCCTTTCTTTTGGGAAATTTTCATCATGGTGGGCAATTGAACTGGTTTTCCAGGGTTTTGGTACATGGAAATACCCTGAAAAATGCTTGGTGTATCCTAGGGTTGGGCGGTTTATCGATAAAACTAATCGATCCAATCGATTTTTCTATTGACAAAAAACCGAAAAAAAATAGGGAAAATAGTTGAAACTTGCAGAAGCAGATCACTGATCACATGCGTGAAAAGAAGGTGGATTTCTGGCATTTCTGAGAAGAAGGTGGATTTCTGGCTTACAAACAATTCGTATTCATATTCTGTACCCTGGCTTATTTCAGATGTGTGTAAAACAGTAAAAGGGAAAATAATACCGAAATATTCGTAATTCGCAACTGAAATGGCCACCATATTTTTTTACCCAGTGTTTCCACTATTTTATGAAATATACTTTAATTAAATTTTCATAAGGAAATTTTCATTAAAAAACATCGGGTTTTTCGTGGTTTTTTTTTCAGACAGTTTTCGGTTTTTACCCTGAACCGCCCGACCCTAGTGTATCCATGTATCAAAGGAAACATATGATAACATATACCTAATGGAAATACCTGGAAATCCTTCATGCAATGAACATTCTCAGATCTGAGTTATCTTCAATTTTCCATCTTGCTATTTACAATGATTTGGCAAAAATGTAACCCAGAATTCAAATGTCCATGCTCAAATTAGTCTATGTCGACAATTTCATGCTGTCTAGTCTCTAGAGAGTTTGCTCAAAAGTTAATGTTTGTTGCAACGTTTAGTGATTTTGTATACATATGACAGGAATTTGCTACTTGAAGTAAGAGTCATCTTCCCGTCAATCCCGTGTTTTGCAACTTGGTGAATGTTTGGCTTTGCGAAACATTTTTTTATTTTTAAATCAATACAACAGAGAGTATGGTTAATTAATCATTGCATACCAATTTAATCTAGGCCAAGAGAATATATTTCTCTTCCTGGGGCCTGTTGTTCAAAAGTCGATCAGCTTAACCCCAGGTTAACCTAAAATTCAAAGCAAACTTCCCAACAGCTTGTCTGTAAATTTGGAAATATTTCTTCAGAAATCTTGTCTGGGTCGACATGAGTTTACTTCTCTGAAGTTTTGAAATAAACAGATATGTAGAAATACACAAACGAAAACAGTGGGTTAAATTTTAACAGGGAGGTTAGCGCGCTAACCCACCTTTGAACAAGTGGCCCCTGGCAGCAAAATCCAGAAATAAAAATGTCCTAGCATGTAAGTCAAATGTGAAACATCCTACATATGTACAATATTTCAGAGAATGTATGGTACCACACATTTGTGATTGATATCAATCTCAATCAAAAACATTTATTGTTTGCAGAATATACTGTAATTATTCTACTGTATATATTTCTGTTTTGTGGTGTGGTCTAAGAGTTATTTTTTGTTTTGATAACTATTTCAGGTCCACAAAGTATGAGAGGCAATAACTTTGGTTCAGCAATGCAAGGAACTATGTCTGGTGGTTTTGGAGGTGGCAATGAAGGAGGTTAGGTGTAGGAAACTATCTTAATTTTTGGAGCTGTGCATCTTTTGCTGGAGCCGGAGTTGGAAAACTCTGGCAGACAAAATTATGAAAAATGAAAAAGTTTAATTACTTGGTCCGAACCGATTCGTGATTTCGAAAATTCTGCAAATGCATGCATTGCTATCGCTTTTGATACAAAAATCCGCTGACCCCAATGTATTTTGGGTGAAAATACCTCGCTGCCATGCAGTTTTACTTGCTACAAAACATTGTTTAAACAAGCACCGAAGCACATATATTTGATAAGTAAAGGAGAAAGCTCAAAAAGGAATAAAATAAATTCTGAAATTACACTGAAATATGTTCGCCTGTTTCTACTTTTAAATTAATATGAAATTTTCTTAAAATACCCTTGCCGGAGTCGAAGTTTTGACTGCCGGACCCGGAGCTAAAATAACCAGGGTTTGCACAACTCTACTTAATATGTTACAACAATATCTATTTTTGAGATGTTATTTTTTGTTTATTTGCTGCTTGATAGTTTATAATTTGTTGTATTTCCATGCATAAGCTGGAAAGCTATGACATACCATAGGAATTTTTCTGGGTTTAAACACTTTGTAGAAACAAAGCAAATATTGACAGTAATATTTAATATCTCTCTCTGGCACTGTTTTCAGAGCACTGTTGCCTTTCATCTGACAGGGTAGGTAGTAACTAGTCTTTAAATTGAATTAGTCAATTTCTGAGTTAAAGGCAAGAACTTCTATCACGACTACTTCCAAAAGCTCACATATGGAGATAACAAACTGCTACTGCCAAAAGTTAGAACTGAAACTGCAAGGAAATGATTTGCATAAGGAGTAGTCCAATACAACAAACTGCCAGACAGTCTAATCATAGAGTCTAATGAAAGAAACATCATTACTAAGATTTAAAGAACCATATCAACAGAATTTTTTAAATTATAAGAGACATTTTGTCACTTTTTATTAAACAAACACTATTCTTAATTACTATTCAAAACATTTTGTAAATTAGAAGCTTCTCACATTTTATCTGTATTTAGTATTTTTGCACAAGTGAACATAACAAATCCTACAAGGTGATTGGTCAAATTTGACGTATTAATCTGTTATATTCACCTACAGGTGAATATAACAAAATCAAAATTTTCAAAATGGCGGCTAGCCGTTTTGTTGAAGTTAGTGATGAAGAAATAAGTGAAATTAAAATGAATTCAGACCAGAAAAACACAAAAAAACTTGTGCAAAAATACTAAAACTCAGGCTCAGTGATTATCGGGGGAATATTCACCTCGACTTCTTCTCGGCGAATATTCCCTGATAATCACCTCACCTTCGGCGAATAATTGTTAATTATCAACTTTATTGTAAACACAGGTCCTTGATTTATAGCAGCTTAATATAGCTGACCTAGCTAATCTGTAAGAATATAGTTTATTATTATTAAGCTTACTTCTAATGATTCCAAAATCCCTGATAATTAGGTGCAAGTCATGGAGGGAGCCAGATATGTTTATAGTGCCAGAGAGTTTGAGCTGTATGTGTGTAAAACCCATAATAGGGAAGGCATGGTTGCATTTTGCATCCCCCCCTGCCTAGCAACAGATGATCTTGTTCTTACAGTGAAAAATTATACAAAAAGTGTCCCACTTCTGCTTTAGTAGTTTGTTGTGATTTACTGTAATTTGTTCTGTTTTTCTGTAGCGATTACTGATTTATCGGCAAATACTGCGATAAAATTTAAATTTTGTACCTTTTATGCAATGAAACTAACGAAAAATGTATTATTTCCCTTTGCTACAAATTATCATATTTATTAAAAATAGAGAACTATATTGGGTCATTCCAGAAAACATCCATACCACCCCCACGGAGGAAATAGGAAGTTAACCCCCTTACCCCCTTCGGATGTCCTAATACATTTACTATTATCAGAAACAATTTTTTCTCCCCTCCCCCTTCCGGACGGCAGAAATTTCCTCTGTGGGGGAACGACCCATTTTGAGAAAACTATGTTTTATCACGGTATTTGCCGATAAATCGGTAATCGCTACAGCAAAACAGAACAAATAACAGTAAATCACAACAAACTGCAGAAGTGGGACATTTTTTGTATTTTTACTGTAAGTACAAATAATGGGCAGTAATGTAGCGTTATCTTCATGGGTAACCCATGCAGATATATACTTATAATAATCCCTTTAATTTCATCAATAGGTTTTGATGGTTTTAATATGAATGCAATGGCTCTTGCTGGAATGATGAACATGTTTGCAAGTTACATGGGCATGAATATGGGCAATATGGGTGGTGCTATGGGCAACTCATGCATGAATCAAATGGGAAACATGGGTGGTGCCATGGGAAATACGGGCAGCAATCAAATGAGTGGTCATAATCGTGGTGTTGGTGATTTAGCAACAACTAATAGTGGTGGTCAGAAACCATATAATCACCCAGGCGGAAATGTTTACACTGGTAATCCAACTACTAATGATGGTTCTGTTGGCGGTGGTGCTCAGAATTCATCCACATATAATCAGCAGGCTGCCTCTAGTATGGTAGATATGTCAGGGTATGCTAATACCATGGGTGCCATGTTTGGTGTGGATCCAACAAATGTTCAAGCTGCCTTGTATAGTGCATATGCTGCTGGCAACAATCAACTTGGAGTTTATAACTACCAGTCACCTTCAGCTTATGGTCCGGCAAGGAACACATCAACTGGAAATTCTGCTAGTACCAGTCAAGGGTATAAACCATATTGAAGTCTTTGAAGAAAGGTAAGATATTTAGTCTTCAACCAACTCCAATCAATACTTTTATGATGAAATATAAATTCAATTACAAATTCACCAGTTTTCTATTTTAACAACATTACATGTTTCAGGTATCACTTTATACATTTGATTCAAGTGAAAAATATGAGAATAGTGGGAGTGGTTTTCTACTGCTTTAACCCTTTTAACCCTACTTTATTATTTTACTTTGTCTAACGCCATATTATTTTACTCTGTCTAATGCCATATTATTTTACTCTGTCTAACGCCAGACGATTTTGATGACGATATTTGATATTTAATCAGGGTGCCCATATATCCGAAGAGTTTTTCAATGAGACCCTGCTACTTGTAAGCGGGAGAGTGCTGCCAGGAAAATCAATTATGCATAAGAATGTTGTAATTTTCCTGGTTGAAAAAAATGGGATAATGAACATATTTTAACACATGTCAATACTTATTGTGGTATGTTGATAAATGATAATGGTAATTTTTTAAATATTGGTTATTCAATGCATTTCTAAAAATATCGATTTCCTGAAAATATTGAATCTACAGTACCTGTCGCGAGTAAGGGTACGTCCACTCGCGCGTAGCGAGTGCTCGCGAGTCAAAGCGAGTACTCGTTCTGACTCGCTACTCGCGAGTACTCGCATTTCATCTCACTCGCAAGCACTCGCTACTCGCAACTAGCGAGTGCTT